TCTGTCTGTCTGTCTGTCTGTCTGTTTGTATGTCTGTCTGTCTGTCTGTCTGTCTGTCTGTCTGTCTGTCTGTCTGTCTGGGATCACGGGAGTAGTATCTTCCGGCCTCCCAACAAAACCAGCAAAACAAGTTGTTACATAACTAATTCTGGGCCAGCTAACTGTAGCTCCCTGTTACTGTCACATTAATTTGAACATATCCTTTGCTCTGAACGGCCTTCTGGCATAGAATTCTTGAGCTAGAGGCCTTCTGACGGCTGCATTTCCCAACCTTGAAGAATTTGGTATATTTCATATTTTGCATACAGTATTAATTGATAACCATCTTAACCACCCTAACCACCCCCCGCTACTTCCCCAGTTTCAGAATTCCAGCAGGCATGCTTATTGGAAATGCTCTCAGTGCGTTAGACACAGGCCATGATTACTGCTTACCAAGAGTTTTTTCACTTTAAAATTATGGTAAATTCCACAGGCAATAAAACATGTATATAGATACGACACAAAAAGTCAGAAGTAGTGTCATTCATACAATCTTCCCATTCGTCTTTCCATCTATCTGGCTTTCCTACCCAACCCATTTTCTATTTATTTGTTTTGATCAATTTCACCCACTTTTAGTAAGCCGCTCTGTCCGTTCCCCTTCATGAATTCTCCGTCCTACCAAAACTATTTTGTCAGCTCTTTTTCTCCTCTCATTTATTTTTGTCTCCTTCTATTCTTTCTGACCTACTCCTGTGTCTCTCTTCCCACCCCTTCTCTCTTTCTCATCTCTCTCTCTCTTCTCCATCTCTCTCTCTCTCTCTCACTCTATCTCTTCCCCTCTCTCTCTCTCTCTCTCTCTCTCTCTCTCTCTCTCTCTCCTGTATTTTTTCTCTTTTTCTCTCTCCTCTATTTCTTTCTCCCCCCTCCTCTCCCTCTCCCTCTCTCTCTCTCTCTCTCTCTCTCTCTCTCTCTGCATCTCTCTCTCTGTATCTCTCTCTCTCTTTCTCTCTCTCTTTCTCTCTCTCTCTCTCATTCACACGCCCCCCTCCAAGTTTTTATCCCGGCGATCAATAGCCTATTTGTGCGTAGGTTCATCCACTAATTCCCACACACCGATGGACATTTATCTCTATAAGGTTAACTCTGGCTCAGGAAATAGATCCTTCCACACTGGAGGATAGAGGTATACAGTTCATCTTCGTCTCTTTTTTCTATTCCTTTCTCTCTCTCTCTCTCTCTCTCTCTCTCTCTCTCTCT